AAGTTCCCAAGGTTATGTGGCTTATGAAAGTGGCATAGCTCCAGACACATCCAGATGAGGCGCTGCACTTTGGGAGGTTGAGGTGGGTGAATCACCTGAGTTCAGGAGTTCAAGACCAGCCCTGCCAACATGGCAAAATCCTGTCTCTAGTAGAAATAAAAAATTAGCCAGGCGTGATGACAGGCACCTGTAATCCCAGCTGCTTGGGAGGCTGAGGCAGGAGAATTGCTTTAACCTAGGAGGTGGAGGTTACAATGAGACAGGATTGTGCCACTGCACTCCAGCCTCAGTGACAGAGTGAGACTGTCTTGAACAAAGAAAGGAAGGGGCAGAGCTAGCAAATTTGACCGACTTCAAAGCTGTAACACCCTAAAGAAATTACGGTCTCAGAGTTTTGAGTAACAGATGTCTCTCTCTATTAAAATATTATATATTCCCATCCAGCTCCCAGTAGAATGCCTAAGAAATCTTTGATGACCAGTGCAATCTGTGAAGGTTACCCACTTGGAGGAAGGGACAGGACACACTGATGGTTTGCAGTGGTGGGAAGACGATTCCATCCAGAGGCAGGAAGACAAGTAAAATGACTTCTTAGATCCCCTTTCTGCTTTCCCACCCCCCGCCTCCCCTGTCTCAAGCATCTGATCCCAGACCTATTTCAGAATCTCCTATCTCTCTGCTCAGCGGAAGCAGTGATATGACATAATGTGATCTCATTCTAGAGCTAAATAAAACCATTGTGTGAGACCCAGCCCTGGCCTCTCCCATGCACCATTTCCTGAGCTCAGAAGGCTGAGGGAAAATGGGAGGGGGGCTCAGGGAGTTAAGCTAATGGCAGGAAAAGCAACACGATGACTGGAGTCCCAGTCTGAATTTCAGATGGTGGAGGAGGGAACATTGCTAGGAGGGAGGTGAGGAAGCCTTGCTAAACCTCATCTCTTTGAGGGACAGAATAAAAGTACTGGCATCATGGCATGAGGCAGGGTTAGTGGAGCTGAGGATGTAAAGGAGAAACTGCCAGACAGATTTCATTTTCACAGAGGGCAGAGACCATGAATGAAACGACAGCGATGCTGGAAAAAGGGTAGATCTTGAGAAGAGGTCGGACTTCAGTTGGTCTGAGCTGGAGGAAGAAGGGTGAGTTACACGAAGATCTTAGGAGCTGAGGTGTCTGTCAGTGGGGCCGGGGTGACAGGATCCTATCTCCAGCAGGAACACCTGCAGGGACTGAAGAAAACCAGAGGTCTCCAGTTCACTGTACTTCCTTCATCTTGCCAAATTCAACCCTGCAGGCCAGGCGCAGTGGCTCACAACTATAATTCCAGCACTTTGGGAGGCCGAGGCAGGAGGATCGCTTGGGCCCAGGAGTTTGAGACCAGCCTTGGCAACATAGTGAGACCTCATCTCTGTAAAAAATTTAAGAACAGGTGCAGTGGCTCACAGCACTTTGGGAGGCTGAGGCAGGTGAGTCACCTGAAGTCAGGAGTTCAAGTCTAGCCTGGCCAACACAGTGAAACCCTGTCTCTACTAAAAATACAAACATTAGCCGGGTGTGGTGGTGCATGCCTATAGTCCCAGCTACTCTGGAGGCTGAGGCAGGAGAATTGCTTGAACCCGGGAGGTGGAAGTTGCAGTGAGCTGAGATCACACCATTGCACTCCGGCCTGGGCAACAAGAGCAAAACTCCATCTAAAACAAAACAAAACAAACATTTAAAAATTAGCTGGAGACCAGGCGCAGTGGCTCACACCTATAATCCCAGCACTTTGGGAGGCCAAGACAGGTGGATTGTCTGAGGTCAGGAGTTCGAGACCAGTCTGGTCAACATGGTGAAACCTCATCTCTACTAAAAATACAAAAAAAAAAAAAAAAAAAAAAAAATTAGCCAGGCATGGCGGCGTGCACCTGTAATCCCAGCTACAGGGGAATTGCTTAAACCAGGGAAGTGGGCCGGGTGCGGTGGCTCACGCCTGTAATCCCAGCACTTTGGGAGGCCGAGGCGAGTGGATCACGAGGTCAAGAGATCGAGACCATCCCGGTCAACATGGTGAAACCCCGTCTCTACTAAAAATACAAAAAATTAGCTGGGCATGGCGGCACATGCCTGTAATTCCAGCTACTCAGGAGGCTGAGGCAGGAGAATTGCCTGAACCCAGGAGGTGGAGGTTGCGGTGAGCCGAGATCGCGCCATTGCACTCCAGCCTGGGTAACAACAGCGAAACTCCATCTCAAAAAAAAAAAAAAAAAAAAAAACCAGGGAAGTGGAAGTTGCAGTGAGCCAAGATCACACCACTGCACTCCAGCCTGGGCAACAGAGCAAAACTCTGTCTCAAAAACACAAATGTGGCTGGATGTGGTAGCATGCACCTGTGGTCCTACCTACTCAGGAGGCTAATGTGGGAGGACTGTTTGATCCTGAGAGGTGGAGGCTGCAGTAAACCTTGAAGCTTGAGGGTGACAGAGGAGAGAGGTCCTCTCTCAAGGGAAAAAAAAAAAAAAAAAAAAAAACACAGGCTGAAACAAGGCTATCAGGTAGAGGCTGGGTACAGGGTATACAGTTCAAACCAACTTTCTGCTTCTGGGAGGTCCCTGAATTCATCCAGCCAGTGTCCCTGCCTCCCCCTCACTGCCTCTCAGTTTCTGTCCTATTTCCAGCCCCCGTTCCCCTTTTCCTAGTACATCTCCAGTTCCTACTCTTTTTTCCACCCCAGCTTTTCATAATATTTTTGTCAACCTCCCTCTGCCTCCAAATCTCAGCTTTGGAGGCCACTGATTGGAAGGGACCCTGACGTGGCCCTCGGCTCTGACCTGCTTCCTGTAGATCTGCTCATCCTGTGTGTAGCCAACATACCTGATGGCACAGGGCCTGTTTGTAGGCAAGAAGGGAGAGGATCTCTCCTGGTGGCTGGCTGAGGGGTTCCCTGTCCATTGCTCCCAGACGCGATGAGCACGGATGGGCACAGGGCCTGGCCACTCTCCCAGGCTTCTCCCTTTCTCTCCTTAGACCCTCCCAGTGGGGTAGCAGCACTGCCGTCTGCAGAGGACTGAGTACCTGCCTCCCTCCCTTCTCTGTGGTGAACGGGCACACAGCCACCCCAGGCACAGCACTTTCTTCCCAGCAGCTCTGGCTGGGGTGAAGGCAGTGGACAGATTGCAGTGAGGGAGGAAAGTAGATTGAAGGGACAACTTTCCAATAACCTGAACTTTCCTGGGGTGGTTAAGACAACCTGGAGGAAGTTTGACAGCCCCACAGTAAGCCTGGAAAGAGGGAAGGTTCTGGGTCCCAGCTTCCTGATCCTTCTGGGCACTCATGACATCTTAGTAGCTGGAAGTGTTCCTAGGAGAAAGGGAGCCTGGGAGACTCATTCTAGCAGAAGGTGTAGAGAGACATGGCCTAGGAGTGAAGTGTACAGAGGTATGCAGTAAATGTTATTGCCCTTCCTGCCCTTCCTGCCCCTGGTACTCTGGAACTTGGCACTTCTTTCTGGAGTGGGGTTTATCATTTTCAACTTCAAGAGCATCTGAGTGTTCTTAACTCTGAGACACATTGAGGCAAATCCCTGATGCCAACCAGGCGTGCTGGGAAGTGAGAGCAATGCCCACTGGCGAGATTGTGGAGGAAATGTGTGCTCTGCGGCTGATGCCTGGAGCCCTTCTGTCTGCAATGTGGGGAGAGGTCACAATGGCTTTCACTCTCCATATAACCAGACTCTTGGAAGAAGACATCACGCCAGGAACAATGGCTCATGCCTGTAATCCCAGCACTTTGGGAGGCCAAGGCAGGCGGATCACAGGTCAGGAGTTTGAGACCATCCTGGCCAATATGTAAGGGAGAAACCCCATGTCTACTAAAAATATAAAAATTAGCTGGACATGATGGCAGGTGCCTGTAGTTCCAGGTACTTGGGAGGCTGGGGCAGGAGAATCGCTTGAACTTGGGAGCCATTGCACCCCAGCCTGAGCAATAAGAGCAAAACTCCATCTAAAAAAAAAAAAAAAGAAGAAATCACAACACTATCACTCATGAATCTTTTCCCCCTGCTACTTTATCTACCTAAAATCCTCTCCCTCTTCCCTGGGCAAATCCTAACCACTTTACCCCTCCAGGCACACCTCAAAGGCCCTCTGCTTCCTTCTGTTCCCCCTCCTCTTTGAAAACTAAAACAAAGCCAGGTCCTCACACCTGTAATCTCAGCACTTTGGGAGGCCAAAGCAGGTGGATCACTGGAGGTCAGGAGTTCAAGATCAGCCTGGCAAACATGGTGAAAACCTATTTCTACTAAAAATATAAAAAATTAGCCAGGCGTGGTAGCGTGCACCTGTAATCCCAGCTACTCAGGAGGCTGAGGCAGGAGAACAGCTTTAACCTGGGAGGCAGAGGTTACAGTAAGCCACAATCATGCCATTGCACTCCAGCTTGGGCTACAAGAGTGAAACTCCATCTCAAAAAGAGAAAAAAAGGCTGGGCGCGGTGGCTCACACCTGTAATCCCAGCACATTGGGAGGCCGCGGAGGGTGGATCCTGAGGTCAGGACTTCGAGACCAACTTGACCAACATGGCGAAACCCAGTCTCTACTAAAAATACAAAAATTAGCCGGGCATGATGGTGCATGCCTGTAATCCCAGCTACTCAGGAGGCTGAGGCAGGAGAATCACTTGGATCTGACAGGCGGAGGTTGCAGTGAGCCAATATCACACCACTGCCTTCATCTCAAAAAAAAAAGCCTTCGTCTCAAAAAAAAGAAAAAAAAAAATCCAAAGCAAACAAGGTCTTGCTCTGTCACCCAGGCTGGAGTGCAGTGGAATGATCATAGCTCACTGCAGCCTTGAACGCCTGGGCTTAAGTGAGCCTCCCACCTCAGCCTCCCAAGTAGCTGGGACTATAAGCACATGCCACCAAGCCCGGCTAACTTTTTATTTTTTGTGAAGACAGGGTCTCGCTATGTTGCCCAGGCTGGTCTGGAACACCTGAGCTCAAGCGATACCCCTGCCTCAGCCTCCCAAAGTTGTGGGTGTGCCACCGCACCTGGTCTGTTTCCCTTTTTTGAATCTCCCAACTGGTCTCATGCACTCACTCCTTTAACAGCCCACAGGCTTTTGTTGAAACTTCTCTTGCGGCATTTGGCACATGCGAGCCGGTGACGGAGTCATTTGTGATTTGTGCTTTCGCTTGTGCACACACACGCACACTTACCCACTCACTGGACTGTGATTCCTTGAGGACAGGAACAATATCCATTTCTTTTTCCATGGCTTTCTGCTACATGGATCTTCAGTAAACGGAATAAGAACGAGACAGTGAGGGTCTCTTTACGAAGACACTGGACCGAGAGCCAGAAAACCTAAGTTCTAGCCTCGACTCCGCAGCTGATTCACAGAGTGACCCTGAGCCACACACTCTCCAGTTCTGTGTCTCAGTAAAGTGAGGGGTGGCTAGATGCTCCCAAGCCCAGCTGACTGTGACACGCTTCTAGTTCCAAGGCTCCAGAGTTCTAGAACCCTGCTCACCCTTTTCTTTCTTCCTGATGCAGACTGGCCCGCCTGTGTCTCCCATGAACAGAGCCGTCCCAGAGGTGTTCCTCGAAGGTGGAGACCAGGTGCCCCAAGGCCACACTCGCCGCTGTCTTTCTGCGGTCGAATCCAGAGAGCAACTGGAGGAAGAAGAGGTGGGAGAAATAAAGGAGGGGAATGGCTCACATGCTGTACCCCTCCGAAGGTCGGGGGCTTTCCGGGCCCACAGCCGAAACTATGACCTCTTCAAAAGACATAGTTGGGGACCTGGCAGGGAGCTCGATGACCCACTGAATAGGTAAGCCCGCAGGGAACCGCCTGTGCCTCCTTCCCTCCAGGCCTAGACCTTGGAGAAAATGGGAAAGTGATTGGGAAGGAACTGGATAATTCTCTAGAGACAACCATCTGAAGGATAACAGGAGAGAGGAGAACTAGGCCCCCAGTCCTTTCCCTGGAGAGCCAGAACCCAGTCCCGTTGGTGGACCTTTGCGGAGGATGGTCCTTCCAAAATATGGCTCTTCCCAGTGGCTCTTAGCTGCTTCTCTCAGGGCAGACTGAGGGTGGAAATGGGAGGGAGGTGTGGAGTCTGGGTGAGCATCAGGATCGTCTTGCCTCTGCCTCCCACGGCAGGTTCATACACCCACGTGATGGTGTCAGGGCTGGAAGGAACACAGAGAACATACGGCACAATCTCCTCATTTTACAGATAAGGAAACTGAGGCCCAAAGAACTTTCAGAGATTTCTTGAGGGAAGCGGTCCCAGGGTTGGGACACTGGGCCTGTCCCAGTGCCAGAGGCTTGCTGGGCTTTCAGTTGCAGGCTGAGGACAACACGAGATGTCCTGGATTAACTCATGGTCCAGCATTGCCATGTGAGATCAGCTGTTCTTGCTCAGAGTTCTGCATACACTTGGTAGACTGGGGCAGAAAGATCATCTCTTCCCCCTCCCCTGGAAAATCCCTGACCACTTCCCCAAAATCAGAGGAAGTCAGAAAGAGAAGGGCCGGGGGTCAGCATGAAGAGTTCAGTGTGAGTGAGCATTGTAGGGGCCTGCTGACCATGGAAGGGCACTGTCCCTCTGCTTGGACAATGGGCCCCTTGGACACGTTCCTTTAGCTCTGGTGAGTGGACCAACCTTCCCTAGCTCCTGGGCAGGGCTGGCTGGTTTGAGTGAGGGGAGAGGACCCTCAGCCTTGTCCCTGAACTGGCTTGGGTGGGAACTCGGATGAGAAGTAATGCCTGCAGGGCTCATGGCACTTCCCTAAGGGTAGCTGGCTGAAAGCAGAGATGCCCAGATGCCTGGGCCCCCGTTATGTGGTGCCACCTGTATCTCAGGGTCTTTCAGGTGTTACCCACCTTTCACGGTCAGGCATTAATTCTTCCCCTTGGTTAGAGAGGGATTGGTGTCCTGAGTGGACCATTAGCTTAGCAGGGGCAAAGGTTGGCATCAGCAACCAGGCAAGGAGCGAGAATCCAGCTTGCTCTTGCTGTTCGCCTTCCCCTGAACCCTGGCTTTCTTCTGGAGAGCAGTACTCTCTTTTGACCAGCAGGGGCCGCTCTTGCCCACAGCCAACTCTGCAGCTCTTAAAGCAGAGCCCCAAAGTGGGGCCAGTTTGGGTCTGAGCTGTGCCTATGCCAACAGGAAGGGCTGGGCTGGGGGCAAGCAACAGGGCTGGGCTGAGGCGAGGCGGTGTTCCTCCCTGGTGCCCGTCACTGGCCACTGGATACAGAGGGTGGTGGTGGCGATGTGTGTTTCAGGAGGAGACTGCAGGCGTCGGGATGCCCAAGCCCCGAGGAGGCCCCCTTCCTGCAGAGCCAAGAAGAACTGGACACCTTTCTGGGACTGCAGCACCAGGGTGGCCACCCCTCCTGCCTGGTATGAACAGACAGATCCCCATGAATGCTCCTGCCTTGCTCCTCCTCTCCTGCCCCTCGCCTGTCTAGCCACCATTCTATTCTATGTCTCCTCTGTTCTGCCAGCTGCTGGGTCTCTCTGTGCCCAGGCATTGCTCTGACTCCATCTGACCAAATCGGACTCTATCGTCTATGCGCCTCTGTCTGCCTCCCTGGGTCTGTGTGCTCCGTCCCTGACTCCGGGTACCCTGCTTCTGTCTCTTTCTCTAAGACTCTCTGTTTCTTCCTTTCCATGTCTGTGCCTCTCTGTTGATGAGGGTGTATCTATCTGTTCCTCTTTCAGTAAAAGGGCCCTGTTCCCCTAGTAGTTATAACCACTTCTTTCTGTGGACCCTACATGTCCCCAGTTTGGAGCTGAACTTATTTATTTATTTACTTACTTATTTATTTTGAGACAAGGTCTCACTCTGTTGCCCAGGCTGGAGCGCAGTAGTGATCTTGGCTCACTGCAACCTCCACCTCCCAGGTTCAAGTCATTCTCCTGTCTCAGCCTCCAAAGTAGCTGGGATTACAGCTGCCCACCACACCATCACCCTGCTAATTTTTATATTTTTAGTAGATACGGGGTTTTACCATGTTGGTCAGGCTGGTCTCAAACTCCTGACCTCGCGATCCACCCGCCTCAGACTCCCAAAGTGCTGGGATTACAGGGATGACCCACTGCACCCGGCAGAAAGTATTTTTAATAGTAACCAAAACTATAGGTTACCTAGAAATAAATCTAATAAAGATTGACAAAGCCTGTGTGAAGAAAGTTAATATTTAATGAAAAGACACTTTTTTACTAGGTAAGGGTAGAGAAATTTTTTTTTTCTTTTCCAAGATGGAGTCTTGCTCTGTCACTCAGGTTGGAGTGCAGTGGCACGATCTCAGCTCACTGCAACCTCCATCTCCCGGGTTCAAGCGATTCTCCTGCCTCAGCCTCCTGACTAGCTGGGACTACAGGCACACACTACTATGCCCAGCTAATTATTATTATTATTTTTTTTTTTTTTTTGAGACGAAGTCTTACTCTGTCACTCAGGCTGGAGTGCAGTGTTGTGATCTCAGCTCACCGCATTTGCTAGGCTGATCTCAAACTCCCAACCTCAGGTGATCTGCCCACCTCAGCCTCCCAAAATGCTGGGATTACAGGCGTGAGCCACCGCACGCGGCCTACTTTCTTATTTTTAAATTACATTTTATAACTATTTTTGGTTTATAGACATGGAATTGAATTATTCCTCATATATGGCCAGACACAGTGGCTCATGCCTATAATCCCAGCTCTTTGGGAGGCCGAGGTGGGTGGATCACCTGAGGTCAGCAGTTCGAGACCACCCTGGCCAACAAACAGGGTGAAACTCCATCTCTACAAAAATACAAAATTAGCCAAGCGTGGTGGTGTGCATGTGTAATCCCAAGTGCTTGGGCAGGAGAATTGCTTGAATCCAGGAAGCAGAGGTTGCAGCGAGCCAAGATTGAGACACTATTCTCCAGCCTGGGCAACAGAGAGAGACTGTCTCAAAAAAATATTCCTCATACAATATTATAGTCATTTATCTTGGTAAAGTCTTGTTTTACATTAAAACAATTTATCTGTGTCTTTTTTCTTTGGGCTTTTCTAAGTATACAACTATGTCATCTTTCCTTTTTTTTTTTTCTGAGACAGAGTCTTGCTCTGTCACCCAGACTGGAGTGCAGTGGCACAATCATGGCTTACTGCAACCTCCACCTCCCAGGCTCAAGTGATCCTCCTGCTTCAGCCACCCTCGAAGCTGAGACTACAGGTGTGTGCCACCATGCCCAGCTACTTTTTTTCTACTCAGCCATGATTTTTTTGATTTTTTTGAAGACATGGGGGTCTCACTATGTTGCTCAGACTGGTCTCAAATTTCCTGTGCTCAAGTGAGCCTCTCACCTTAACCTCCCAAAGTGCTGGAATTACAAGTGTGATCCACCTTACCCAGCCTGTGTCATCTTTAAATGAGCAGCGTTTTTTCTTTTCTTTTTTGTTTGAGACAGAGTTTCACTGTTGTTACCCAGACTGGAGTGCAATGGCATGATCTCGGCTCACTGCAACCTCCGCCTCCTGGGTTCAAGCAATTATCCTGCCTCAGCCTCCCGAGTAGCTGGGACTACAGGTGCACACTGCCATGCCCAGCTAATTTTTGTATTTTTAGTGGAGATAGGGTTTCACCAAGTTGACCAGGATGGTCTCGATCTCTTGACCTCATGATCTACCCGCCTCGGCCTCCCAAAGTGCTGGGATTATAGGCGTGAGCCACTGCACCCAGCCATTGTTTTACCTCTTTTCCAGTATCCACTCCCTTCATTTCTTTTTTTTTTTTTTTTTTTTTTGAGACGGAGTTTCGCTCTTGTTACCCAGGCTGGAGTGCAATGGCGCGATCTCGGCTCACCGCAACCTCCGCCTCCTGGGTTCAAGCAATTCTCCTGCCTCAGCCTCCTGAGTAGCTGGGATTACAGGCACGCACCACCATGCCCAGCTAATTTTTAGTATTTTTAGTAGAGACGGGGTTTCACCATGTTGACCGGGATGGTCTCGATCTCTCGACCTCGTGATCCACCCGCCTCGGCCTCCCAAAGTGCTGGGATTACAGGCTTGAGCCACCGCGCCCGGCCTCTCTCCCTTCATTTCTTCTTCTTGCACTCCTTTGCTGGCTAGGGTTCTATTTTTATTTATTCGTTATCTAGTGTTTCTCCTCTCTTCCAGCATTAATCCATCAAAATAGGACTCCAGTGCTGTGCGGAACAGAAATGGCCATAACGGACATCCTTGTCCTATTTGTGGATTTTATTATAATTTTTCTTAAAAACTATGCCATGAGAAGTACTGTTTCTGATTTTAGAGGGAGTATATCTTGTGTCTCACTATTGAGGTTGATTTTCTGCTGCAGGCTTTAAAAAATATTCTTGATTAGGTTAAGCAGGATTCTTTCTGTTTATTTATTTATTTTCTTTTGAGACAGAGTCTCGCTCTATCACCAGGATGGAGTGCAGTGGCTCGATCTTGGCTCACTGCAACCTCTGCCTCCTGGGTTCAAGCAATTCTCCTGCCTCAGCCTCCTGAGTAGCTAGGACTACAGGTGCACGCCACCACGGCCCAGCTAATTTTTTTTTATTTTTTAGTAGAGATGGGGTTTCACCATGTTAGCCAGGATGGTCTCAATCTCCTGACCTCATGATCCACCTGCCTCAGCCTCCCAAAGTGTTGGGATTACAGGCGTAAGCCACCATACCCAGTCGATTCCTTCTGTTTCTAATTGCCAAGCCTTTGGCTTTAGAATTAGTGGGTGTTGGATTTTATCCTATGCTTTTCTGCATTTACTAAAATGATTGTATATTTTTTCTCTTTAAATATATTATTATTACTTATTATTGTTTTTGTCTGTTTCTTGAGACAGTCTTGCTCTGTCTCCCAGGCTGCAGCACCATGTTGGCCAAGCTTGTCTCAAACTCCTGACCTCAAGTGATCCACCCACCTCGGCCTCCCAAAGTGCTGAGATTACAGGCGTGAGCCACTGTGCCAGGCCTAAATTATCATTTTGAGATGGGGTCTCGCTGTCACCCATTCTGGAGTGCAGTGGTGCAATCATGGCTCACTGCAACTTCGGCCTCCCCGGCTCAAACCATCTTCCCACCTCAGCCTCCTGAGTAGCTGGAAGCAGAGATGCATGCCACCACACCCAGCTAATTTTTTGTATCTTTGGTAGAAATGGGGTTTCACCATGTTACCCAGGATGGTCTCAAACTCTTGAGCTCAAGTGATCCCTCACCTCAGCCTCCCAAAGTGCTGCGATTACAGACATAAGGCACCACACCCCTTCTCCTTTAATATATTATTGAGGTAAATGACATTTAAGGATTTTTCTCATATTAAACCACCTTTGTAGTCTTAGGATAAATCCAACTTTGTCATGACAGATTTTATCTTTTTACATACTGCTGGATTTTACTTGTATCAATTATTTATTGCTGTATAACAAACCAACTCTAAACTTAGCAGCTTAAAACGACAACTTTTTTTTTTTTTTCCTCACAACTCTCTGGGTGGACAATTTGGGCTGGTCTCACCTGGACTCATTTAGCCGGCTGCCATTGTCTGGTGGCCTGAATAGCGCTGATGATCAAGGATGGCCTTCCTTATGCTTTCAGCTGGCAGCCTGCCAGTTGCAGTACCTTGCTTCTCATCCACACGGCTCTCCAGAATGCCAGCTTAGGCTTGTTCAGATGAAAATAGCATTCCAAGTGGGCGAGAGTGGAAGCTTTAAGGTTTCTTGAGGGTTAGGCTCAAAAATCACATGATGGCACTTCTGTGACATTCTAGTCGTCATAGTAAGTCATAGACCAGCCCAGACTCAGAGTGAAGAGACAGGCTCCTTCCTAATGGGAGAAACTGCAAATAATTTACGGCCATTTAAAATCTGCTACACTGGCCAGGTATGGTAGCTCACGCCTGTAATCCCAGCACTTTGGGAGGCTGAGGCAGGAGGATCACCTGAGGCCAGAATTTCAAGACCATCCTGGCCAACCTGGCGAAACTCTGTCTCTACTAAAATTACAAAAATTAGCCGGGTAAGGTGGCACACACCTATAATCCCAGCTTCTCAGGAGGCTGAAGCATGAGAATCATTTGAACCTAGGAGACAGAGGTTGCAGTGAGCAGAGATCATGTCACTGCACTCCAGTCTGGGCAGCAGAGCAAGACTGTATCTCAAAGAAAGTAATAATAAAAAATAAAATCAGCTACACTTTCTTAATATTTTATTTGGGATTTTTGTACTTGTATGAATAAAAGAGATTGTCCCATAATTTCTCTTTGCCATACTGTCTATGTGTAGTTTTGGAATCAAGGTTGTACTTACCTTATAGAAAGAGTTGAAAAGTTTTTGTTTTAGTTGTCTATTCTTTGGAGGAGTTTGTATAAGATTTCAGTGATATGTTCCTTGAAAGATCTGTCCTTTAAAACTGTTTTAGCCTGGTGTTTTTGTTTTGTTTTTAGGAAGATTAACTACTGATTCCATTTCTTTAATAGGACCATTCAGAGTTTCTATTTCTTCTTGATTCCGTTTTGGTAAGTTTTATTTTGGGGGATAGGAAGGAATTTGTCTACTTCATTTGCATTTAAAATTATTGGCATGAAGTTGTAGGTAGTATTCTTTTTTTTTTTTTTTGAGATGGAGTCTCACTCTGACCCCCAGGCTGAAGTGCAGTAGCACAATTTCTGCTCACTGCAACCTCCATCTCCCAGGTTCAAGTGATTCTTGCACCTCAGCCTCCTGAGTAGCTGATATTACAGGTGTGTGCTACCACACCTGGCTAATTATTTTTAGAAGCGACGGGGTTTCACCAGTTGGCCAGGCTGGTCTCAAACTCTTGACCTCAAGAGGTCTGCCTGCCCTGGCCTTCCAAAGTGCTGGGATTACAGTCATAAGCCACCGTGCCCCACTGCAGGTAATATTCTCGTCTTTATAATCACTGCTCTTTCTTTTTTTTTTTTTGAGATGGAGTTTCACTCTTGTTACCCAGGCTGGAGTGCAATGGTGCGATCTCGGCTCACCGCAACCTTTGCCTCCTGGGCTCAGGCAATTCTCCTGCCTCAGCCTCCTAAGTAGCTGGGATTACAGGCACGCGCCACCACGCCCAGCTAGTTTTTTGTATTTTTAGTAGAGACGGGGTTTCACTATGTTGACCACGATGGTCTGGATCTCTCGACCTCATGATCCACCCGCCTCGGCCTCCCAAAGTGCTGGTATTACAGGCTTGAGCCACCGCGCCCGGCCACTGCTCTTTCTATAGTTAGGTCTACTTTTTCATTCTATTTATGCTTTTCCTTGTTTTCTTTATCATTCCTAACAGAGGTTTGCCTATTTCATTTGCTTGATCCTAGAAAACAACTCTTGGCTTTATTGATCCTCTCTAATTTATTTTTGTTTATATATACATTTTTTTTTTTTTTTTTTTGAGACGGAGTTTCGCTCTTGTTACCCAGGCTGGAGTGCAATGGCTCGATCTCGGCTCACCGCAGCCTCCGCCTCCTGGGTTCAGGCAATTCTCCTGCCTCAGCCTCCTGAGTAGCTGGGATTACAGGCACGAGCCACCATGCCCAGCTAATTTTTTTTGTATTTTTAGTAGAGACAGGGTTTCACCATGTTGACCAGGATGGTCTCGATCTCTCGACCTCGTGATCCACCTGCCTCAGCCTCCCAAAGTGCTGGGATTACAGGCTTGAGCCACCGCGCCCGACCTATATATACATTTTTTTGAGACAGAGTCTTGCTGTGTCACCAGGCTGGAATGCACTGGCATGATCTCAGCTCACTGCAACCTCCACCTCCTGGGTTCAAGCAATTCTTCTGCCTCAGCCTCCCAAGTAGCTGGGATTATAGGCCTGTGCCACCACACGCAGCTCATTTTTGTATTTTTAGTAGAGATGGGGTTTCACCATGTTGGCCAGGATGGTCTTGTCTCTTGACCTCGTGATCCGCCCGCATTAGCTTCCCAAAGTGCTGGGATTACAGGCGTGAGCCACTGCGCCCGGCCAAAATTTTTGTATTTGTTAGTAGAGATGGGGTTTCTCCATGTCGATCAGTCTGATCTCAAACTCCTGACCTCACGTGATCCACCCACCTCAGCCTCCCAGTGATTACAGGCATGAGCCACTGCGCAAAGCCTTATTTCATTTCTGCATTTATCTTTATTATATGCTTCTGCCTTTTTGTTTGTTTGTTTGAGACGTAGTTTTGCTCTTGTTGCCCAGGCTGGAGTGCAATGGTATGATCTCAGCTCATTGCAACCTCCGCCTCCTGGGTTCAAGAGATTCTCCTGCCTCAGCCTCTGGAATAGCTGGAATTATAGGCAACCACTACCACACCCAGCTAATTTTTTGTATTTTTAGTAGAGACAGGGTTTCACCATGTTAGTAGTCAGGCTGGTCTGGAACACCTGCTTCAGCCCCCCAGAATGCTGGGATTACAGGCGTGAGCCACCACGCCTGGCCGCTTCCTTCTGTTTTCTATGAATTTGTCCTGTTCTTTTTTTGACTTTTTAAATTAGCATAGCTCAATTCTCTAGAATTAAAAATTTTTCAATATAAGCATTTTGAGGCCACACCTTGCCCGTGAAATATCACTTCAGCCTTCTACCACAGGTTTTATTCTGCATTTTCATTATTGTTCAGTTACAGAATATCTTTAAATTTCCATTATGATTTCTTCTTTGACAATACATTTATTTAGAATGGTGTTTTAAGATTTATAAAACCCGGGAAATTTATGAACCTGGGAGGTGGAGGTTTCAGTGAGCTGAGATCATGTCATTGCACTCCACCCTGGGCAGCAAGAGCAAAACTCCATCTCAAAAAAAACAGAGATCATCATAGCTGAGAAGCTCCCTGGGTTCTTGATAGCCCTCTCTCTGGCAGAGGTGACCACATTCTTGATTTTTGAGATCCATTTTCTTTTCTTTTCTTTCCTTTTTTTTTTTTTTGAGACAAGAGTCTTGCTCCATTGTGAGGAGCCAGGCTGGAGTGCAGTGGCGCAATCTCGGCTCACTACAACCTCCGCCTCCCGGGTTGAAGCAATTCTCCTGCCTCAGCCTCCCGAGTAGCTGAGACTACAGGCACGTGCCACCATGCCCAGCTAATTTTTGTATTTTTAGTAGAGACAGGGTTTCACCATGTTGGCCAGAATGGTCTTGATCTCCTGACCTCGTGATCCATCCTCCTCGGCCTCCCAAAGTGCTGCGATTACAGGCGTGAGCCACCGTGCCTGGCGTGTCTTGGTTCTTTCATTCAACACGTCTGTGGGATTCATCTGTATTGTTAACTGAGCTGTGATTTATTCATTTTTATTGTTTAATAGTATTTCAATGCATAAGTAGACTATTGACTTTTTATCTAGTCTACTGAGGAGGGACTTCTGGCTTATTTACTATAATTTCTATAATGCAGATTATTTGAAATGTGTTGAGATTTGCCTTAGGGCCTATTTTGTGGCCAGTTTTTGTGATGCTCCATGTCAGCTTGAGAAAAAAGTTACTCTCTAAAGGATGGGCACAGCCTATGAATATTACTACTCCCTATTGTCTTAAACCCAGACTGCCTCAGTTTTTTCTTTCTTTTTTTTTTTTTGAGATAGAGTCTCACTCTGTCACCCATGCTGGAGTGCAGTGGCACGATCTCAGCTCACCGCAACCTCCGACTCACAGGTTCAAGCAATTCTTCTGCCCCTCAGCCTCTCAGTAGCAGTGACTACAGGTGCCAGCCACCATGCCTAGCTGATTTTTCTATTTTTAGTAGAGGCGGAGTTTTACCATGTTGGCCAGGCTGGCCTCAAACTCCTGACCTCAAATAATCCACTCATCTCGGCCTTCCAAAGTGCTGGGATTACAGGCATGAGCCACCGTGCCCAGCCTTCGTTTTTTTTTTTTTTTTTTTTGAGACAGAGTTTCGCTCTTGTTACCCAGGCTGGAGTGCAATGGCGCGATCTCGGCTCACCGCAACCTCCGCCTCCTGGGTTCAGGCAATTCTCCTGCCTCAGCCTCCTGAGTAGCTGGGATTACAGGCACGCACCACCATGCCCAGCTAATTTTTTGTATTTTTAGTAGAGACGGGGTTTCACCATGTTGACCAGGATGGTCTCGATCTCTCGACCTCGTGATCCACTCACCTCGGCCTCCCAAAGTGCTAGGATTACAGGCTTGAGCCACTGTGCCTGGCCAGCCTTCGTTTTAGTCATTCTGTTGCACCAGTGCAGTGGCGTGATATCAGCTCACTGCAACCTCCACAGCCCAGGTTCAAGTGATTCTTGTCTCAGCCTCTTGGGTAGCTGAAGTTACAGGCACACACCACCACGCCCGGCTAATTTTTGTATATTTTTTAGTAGAGACAGAGTTTCACCATGTTGGCCAGGCTGGTGTCGAACTCATGACCTCAAGTGATCCACCTGTCTTGGACTTCCAAAGTGCTGGGATTACAGGCCTGAGCCACTGCCTGTTTTTTTCCTTACCTGCCTAGCCTCCGTAGGTTGAGTTTATCACCTCTGGCAACCATTCAGGATAAATCTCTCTTCTAAGATACTTTTATATACTAAGAAAGCCTGGGCTTGAACTGCGACGGAGTGACTGCTAAACAGCAGGGATAACAGGATAACTTCCCAACCACTGAAAGTGCAATGTCCCAGTATGGGTATTGGAAGTGGGTGGGAGGCCTGGATTTGAAGAGGGGCCAAGCTGTGGGGAAGTGAAGAGCATGAGGGGAGGACAGATGAAGCCTGCCCTTTGTGTGAGGACTCTTGACATGATTCCAGGGTCAGGATTCCTATCATCCATCTGCTGGCCCTTTGGACCACTCCGCTACTGGAATGCTTTCCAAGTCTGTATCCATGAGTGGCATCAACTGCCTCTTGGACTGGTCGGATCCAGATGGTGAGCAAAAGCAGGGAGCAAAGCAGGGGTGGCCCCCCTCCCCTATCCATCTCATTGCCACTCCTCATAGCTGGCTGTTTAGTGTCCGGATGTCCTGGATTATGTCTAGCCACACACCCTTGGAATTCCCAGATGGTTTTATTCTTGTTTCTTTTTCTTTCTTTCTTTCTTTTTTTTTTTTTTTTTGAGACGGAGTTTTTGCTCTTGTTACCCAGGCTGGAGTGCAATGGCGCGATATCGGCTCACCGCAACCTCCGCCTCCTGGGTTCAGGCAATTCTCCTGCCTCAGCCTCCTGAGTAGCTGGGATTACAGGCACGTGCCACCATGCCCAGCTAATTTTTTTGTATTTTTAGTAGAGACGGGGTTTCACCATGTTGACCAGGTTGGTCTCGATCTCTCGACCTTGTGATCCACCCGCCTCGGCCTCCCAAAGTGCTGGGATTACAGGCTTGAGCCACTGAGCATGGCCTTCTTTCTTTCTTTCTTTCTTTTTTTTTTTTTTGGACGAGTCTCACTGTGTTACCCCGGCTGGGAGTGCAGTGGTGCAATCTGACCTCCCTGCAACCTCTGCCTTCCGGGTTCAAGTGATTCTCATGGCTCAGCCTCCTGAGTAGCTGGGACTATGGGAGTGTACCACCACACTTGGCAAATTTTTGTATTTTTAGTAGAGAAAGGGTTTCACCGTGTTGGTCAGGCTGGTCTCAAACTCCTGAGCTCAAGTGATCTCCCTGCCTTGGCTTCCCAAAGTGCTGGGATTATAGGCATGAGCCACTGTGTCCAGCCTCAGGATTGCTTTATTCAAATGTGCAATCTGAATTCTGGACTTCAGCATTCTGAAACTCCTACCAATGAAAGCAGACATAGGACACAGTGAGGTTCTCCAGCCTCCCCATCACCAGAGATGGAGGACAGTTACCTGCAATGTACCTTGTCCTCAAGATGGAGTATTGGGAGCTCTGGGTGAAACCTCTGAAACATCAGGCTCCCAGCCACCATCTCCACATAACCCTGGTGCCCTGTTCCCCTGGCTCCTAAATTCTTCAGCTCTGCCCTGCTTAGACCCCGCCCTCTCTCCCTGCTGCCCAGTGCCCGCCCTCAGGAATGGCGTCACATGCACCTGCAGCTTGGGAACCTGATCCAGGTGAAGCGGGTGGGGGAGGAAGCCCTGGGCGCCTTTGTCTGGCTTTAGCTAGACACTTCTTGTCTCCTTTTGTGTTGGCAGGGAATTTATCCCAGTCCTCTGCCACTGACCTCAGGAAACGGTGAGTGTGGGGGGCTCGGAGTCCTTCAAAAGCCTCTATGGGGGAACAGCAATAGAGTCTAGGCCATGGTTTTGTAGCTGCAAGGGTCTCCCTGCTTCCTGAATCATTCCTCCCCTTAACATTTCTGATCTAAGACCTCCAAATGTCCTTCCCTTAGCTGCATAGAATTCACACTCTTCTTTGGTATGGGGGGGCTCCCCAGGTTCCTGGTAGCTCCATGAGACAGGGGGAGAAATTAGGGAAAGAAAAGGGGTATCCAGGGTGTCTGTTGAATAACAGAGCATGGGCGTTGCTTGCTGTTGTCAGTGGTATAGGGTGAAAGGGCAGATGGGCTGTGGAACGGTCTTTTGTGAGGGGCAGTGGCCAAGGACCATGGATCAGCTTAGGATGGCTCAGATAATAGGCCAACGGAGCACTGGCTGGCTGTGGAGCGCCCAACAGAGAGGGGCCTGAGGGCAGAGTTCAGGTCTGGAGGTGGAGGCTGGGAGATTTGCATAACTATGTAAATAAGCATGCAAAATCAGCACCTGTTTATTTGGCTTCTATGGCTAAAGCCTGATTGGAGTGGGCCGGCCTCTATGACAATGTGGATGTGTAAGCAAGTTACGGTCCCTTTAAGATATCAGGCTCTGCTCTGTGGTCCTGAAAATCTCTAGCTGACACATCCTCCTGGCTCTGGGTTTGAGATTAGCTCATGGGATGGGGCTGATGAAATCCCAGGAAATTCAGTCCTTATTGGCTTTAGGCCCAGAGGCCTTCTCCAAACAGCAGAGAGGGTCGTACACAAGGCTCTTGTTCTGAGAGGAGAAAATGCCCCCCGGGAGAGCCCCCGCCCTATACCACTTCCGTTGGGGAGCAGCATGACAGAGGAGACTGGGCCTCCCATCCTGAGCCTGGATTAGGTAGGAAGGAGGAGTCTGTATTTATCTGGGTGGAGCCTGCAGTTTTCTTCCTAAATAGAGGGGCCTGGGCAACTGATATGCCCACATCCAGGAAGTCCTAGGAGGTCAGGATTGAGGCTTATCTTTCTCTCCCCGTCCTTCCTCTCTCTTCCTTCCCATTCTGGCTCTGCTGGTCATGGCACCTTCATCCACCATCTCTCAGGAAACATGTTTTTCTTCATTTCCAGCATTCCCCAGTCTCCTCAAGTCTTTTTCTCTCTGCAGCTGCAGCCAGCTGGAAGGACATTCAGGTACCTGGGCAGGCTCCTCCCTGCGACGGACCTTCAGCTTCCTCTTGGGCATGACCGGAAAGGCCAAGGTAGGAGTCAGCTGGGGAAGCAGGAGGCTTGGGACTCCACTGCCCTCCCCAGTTCCCTCTCTCCCATCACACCATCACCACATTGCACCACTCTCCCTACTAGAAACTCAAGAGCAGTGGTTCAATTTTTCTTTTTTTTTGCGATGGAGTTTTGCTCCTGTTGCCCAGGCTGGAGTGAAATGGCGTGATATCGGCTCACTGCAACTTCTGCCTCCCCGGTTCAAGCGATTCTCCTGCCTGCCGAGCAGCTAGGATTACAAGCATGTGCCACCACATTCAGCTATTTTTTTGTATCTTTAATAGAGACGGGCTTTCTCCATGTTGGTCAGGCTGGTCTTGGACTCCCAACCTCAGGTGATCTGCCCACCTTGGCCTCCCAAAGTGCTGGGATTACAGGCATAAGCTACCTCGCCTGGCAAATTTTTGTTTTTCTTTTCTTTTTTGTTTTTTTTTTTGAGACGGAGTCTCACTCTGTCACCCAGGCTGGAGTGCGGTGGCATGATCTCGGCTCACTGCAACCTCTGTCCCTGGGTTCAAGCGATTCTCTTACCTCAGCCTTCCAAGTAACTGGAATTACAGATGCCTGCCACCACACCCGGCTAATTTTTATATTTTTAGTAGAGATGGGGTTTCAACATCTTGGCCAGGCTGGTCTTGAACTTCTGACCTCATGATCCACCTGCCTCAGCCTCCCAAAGTGCTGGGATTACAGGCGTGAGCCACTGCGCCTGGCTAAATTTTTCATTTTTTTAAAGAGAGGTGGTCTCTGTATCCCAGGCTGGAGTTTAATGGCATGATCATAGTTCACTGCAGCTTCTAACTTTTGGGCCCAAGCGATCCTCTTGCCTTGGCCTCCTAAGGTGCAGAGATTTCAGGTGTGAGCTACTGCCCAGCCAAATGGTTCAAAATTTTTTTTTCTTTTTTTTTTTCAAATGGTTCAAATTTTAAGAGAACACATGCTATCTCTTCCAGCCTGTGTCTCTGTGTCCCAGCAAATCACCTTTTCTCTGCTTTCCCCTATGCTTCCAGCTTAGTAGTCAGCTGTGGACAGCTGGAAGGGGCAAAGGGCCTAGCCCTCCCTCTCTTTAGGCCTCACATAGCTGACAGGTGGGCAGCAGAAACCTCAACCACTGGACATAACAGTGATAATAATTACAGCACTACTTTTTACTTCTTCATAGAGTATCAGCGTTTGCAAAGTGCTTTTACACTCATAATTTTATGGGTGGATACAGCAGCTGAAGGAGTTGAAAGTAGACCACAGGCAGAGAGAAGCTGAGAAAGTGTGTGATTATGGAAGCACATGCATACCCGTTCGTGCGCTGTTCTGATCCCAGGAAGTGACGGCACATTGCTCTTATCCTTATTACCAAGCCTCAGGCTCTGGTGAAACCGGGAGCTCTGCCGGCTCCTTGAATTCATTTCCACTTTCTTTATTTACTGGCAGAGTGAGCCATCCCCCTTTTCCTCCCCTGGCCTCCCCAAGTATGCATGTACTTTCCCACTGGGGTGGATTCTGAGTGTTGAGAGAAACCCCAGAAAAGGCATCATTATATTCACCTTGAAGAGCCATGCGATCCTCACCAGTAAGGTTGCCTGGGCTCCTCCCAGCCCCACCCACAGTGCCAGGGTTCTCCCCTCTTCCAGCCTTTTTTTTGGCCATGATTCCCTTTTCTCCGGGTGGGCTGCAGAGGTCAAGATGAAAGCAGGCCCTGTTGTTAGCACCTTCTCACCACAGGCCATGGGTGGGGAGTTGAGGCTGATGGAGGCGTGAGACTGGGTGAGTTTCAGAAGAGGGGCAGCGGGAGAATCTGAAAGCTGATGGGAGGGGAGGGCAGGGGGCACAGTGAGTTTCTCTCCCATGGGGGAATGGAGATCTTGAGGGAACAAAGCAAAAACAGGGACCTCGGGGTATGAGTCCCACTTCCCTACAAGCTGTCTCACCGCAGGGTAGGGGAGTTGGCTGATGGAATCACCCCCATTTCTTGCTGTGGGAATGGTAGGGGAAGTCGGTACTGCCCAGGGGCCATCAGATCCCGTTCGTCTGTGTTTGTCCACCCTTGACCTAGCAGTCTGGTGGAGGGTTGAGTAACCTAGTGAAGGGGAATGTGGGCAGAGACTTTGGAGCCCAGATCAGGAACAGGGAAGAGTCAGAATGAGTCAGGACATTGCCTCGTTCAGCCTTTCCTCCCCGTGTCTGTGATCCCGTCTTCCTCTGCTTCCCTCTGTCATCTCCTGGTGCATCTTCCTTCCACCTTCATGAACGTGTGGGCCTGCTTCACTTAATCTCTTCCTCCATAAGCAGTAAACATCAGGGGGTGGGGCTGGAGGCAGGCTCAGTCAGGCAGTGAGAGAAGGAAGTGGCTTAGTCCCTCCGCCTTGAGTAGCATTGCACGCTTGATGAAACACTTTCCAGGGGTCAGCTCGTTTAATTCTTACAACGATTCTGGCAAAGATAAGGGTTTCAATCTCAATTTTACAGACAAATACTTAACGGTTAGTTGCTTTGCCCAAGATCTCACAGCTCGTGAGAAGTGGCACCGTATCAGAAACCCAGGGCTCTGGCTCTGGATTGCCTCTGCTTCTCTCCTTAGCCCTAACGCAACAGTTCATTCCCTCTCAGCCTTCCCTTCTTCTTCCAGCTTCTGGCTAGATAGCCACTTAAGGCGATTTGGCCTTAATCACCTCTTCCCAGAATATACAAGGTCCAGACCAACAGAAGGAAGAAGAAAAACAAACCACCCTTGGGACAGTATAGAGTTTGGGCTCGGGTATACCCGGGAGCTCCATCTCTTCACCAACTGGCCAAGACTTTGGCAACGAGGTTCTTCCCTGGGACCTCCTCCCTACCCCTGAAATGGGAGGGGACACATTTCCTCAAGTTAAATGGGCTAAAGAAGGTGGTGACTACTTTTGGATCCTGGTAGAAATGTTTGTTTTTGTGTATCTGAAGAAATTATTTCTGAAAATCTGGAAGATATCACTGGATAGGAGTAGAACGGAGGCCGGAATGAAGAAGGGGCTTGGAAAGGGAGGGCAGGTGGTGCTGAGAAGGGAAAAGTGTTCATTGTTTGAGAGGATAAAGAAAATGTAAACTGAGTCAAGCTGCAGGCCAAGCTCACTAAACACAGGTGTTTTTTTGTTTTTTGGTTTTTTTTTGAGACGGAGTTTCGCTCTCGTTACCCAGGCTGGAGTGCAATGGCGCCATCTCGGCTCACCGCAACCTCCGCCTCCTGGGTTCAGGCAATTCTCCTGCCTCAGCCTCCTGAGTAGCTGGGATTACAGGCACGCACCACCATGCCTAGCTAATTTTTTGTATTTTTAGTAGAGACGGGGTTTCACCATGTTGACCAGGATGGTCTCGATCTCTTGACCTCATGATCCACCCGCCTCAGCCTCCCAAAGTGCTGGGATTACAGGCTTGAGCCACAGCCTAAACAAAGGTGTTTTTAAAGGCAGAACACCTTTCTTTTCCTGTCCCTAGTCCCCTTCCTTGTTATTCATCTCCTAAGGGGAAGGCATGGGTGGCGAGTGGGGGGAATAGGGTAACAGCAGGTGGGATGGAAAGTAGATTGAAGGTTGGGGAGGGCGACAGAAAAGGGTTGGAGAGTCAGGTCGTCTTCTTTCATAGAGACCTTCTAAGTTGAGTTGAGGAACCGTGAGGTCCCTTGGAAAACCCTGGGGTTCAAATTCTACATTTCCTGGGTACCCAGGCTGGAGTGTGGCCCTTTAAGATTCTATCCATAGCTTGCAGCACCCTCCTGCCTCAGGCTGGGGAGAGAAGCTGAGGTCCCAGCCCAGATCTTGTCTCTGGGCCTCCAGTGGGTGGAGCCTTGAGGCCAAGATTCCAGCCTCTGGCTGTCTGTTTTTAAATTTAGTACATTCCTGAGTCTTGGCTGCCCACCCCAGGGGAGGTGAGTCTGGAGTTCTGGAGCCAGGAGTCTCAGGACTCTTGCTTTGGGGGAGTTCCTAGGCCCTCCCCTTAGGTATCCGTGGCAGGTGCAAGCCTGGAAGAACCAGCTATGGCCCTCGGAAAGTCCTTCCTGCTTTCTAATTTCCATCCAGCCTAAACTGGGCGTGGTTTCTGGCCTCTCCTTTTTTTCTAGTCTTTGCTATGTAAGGATTCTAAACAGGGGAATGGGTGAAGAAAAAGGTGAAGAAAGAGTTGCTAGGCAGGAGGGGGAGCTGGAGGGCAGTGTGGGGGTAGTGTTGGGGGTGAGCAGCCCAACCAGCTCAGCCAGTGGTGAGGCAGTGGAGCCCAAAAATAGTGGCAGAGGCTAAAATTGGCACCTACAAGAGTGCTGAGTTGGGCTTGAAACCTGCAGCCTGGCCCCACTGCGGAGCCAGGTCAGGGAGCTGCTGGATCTGGGCTGGGTCTCCTCTCCCTCCTTTCTTCTCCCATGCCCTTTGGGGCCAGAATCAGGCCAGACGGAGCCTGCTAACAGAATGCTCTGTGCCACGCCTCTCCGTGCTTCTGGTTTCTCCAGAGAAATGGGAGACCCTGAGAGGCAGGAATGAACTGCATTGTGAGTGACCGTAATTAGACTGGAAGAGGAATTTTCCCAATAGCAGGAAACTCACCCAAAGTGGAGGCTGGCTCAAGCTGGGGCAAAGGGTCCAGAGAGATGAGTGCCCCACCTTACCCTACTTCTTGTGGAGAGGCTGGCTGGGCCCTAACTGCCCTTGACTAGGGCAGGCTGGTTTCTGTCTTTCCGTTCCGGCTTAACTTGCAACTGAGAGAACTGGAGTTAGACACATGGGAGGTGTTTCTCAACTTCTTAGAGCCTTCCGTAAAAGTGGAGAATCCCAACCTAGTCCCCCAAAGTAGCTGGCAGAGGCGGAGCTAGGAGGAGGATGGGCACAGTGGGGTCAGGAAGGCCCCAGAAGGGTGGGGGCGTGTGGGAGAATTCGATCCTCTCTATTCTTCGGCCTCTGGGAGTGAATCCTACCCTTCCCGTGTACAGAAGACCCAGCCTTTAGTTCTAGAACCTTTGATTTCC